CCCCCCCTGTGCCTCCAGCCACTGGGGCTTCCCCTGTGGCAGCAGTAGGCTCACAGCCCCCTCCTCTGTCCACAGATTCAGCCTGAGCCTGCAGCAGAGCCCAGGCCCCCAAGCCACCGCCTCTCCCGCTGGCTGCACCGGCTCCGGGAGGCCCAGGAGAAGGTGAGTCTGGGGAGGAGACCCGGGGTCTGCAGAGCCTGGGAGCCCTGAGCCCCAGCAGCCCCTGAGCCAGCTCTGTCCTTTCAGGAGACCCCGGGCTGCCTGGAAATCTCTGTCACTTCCAACCTCTTTCGCATGCTCCTCCGGGACCTGCCGTGTGTGGCCCGTGGAGACCAGTGTGCCTGACTTTGGACTCTCCTGCCAGCTGCTGGAATTCTTCCGTGTGCGGACTCACCAAGCCCCTGCCTTAATTTATAGCCACTCATGACTTTTTAAAAAGTATTTATTGTGTGTGGGTCCTCAGACTCCACAAAATGTCTATTTTTCTACTTTTGGAAGCATTTTATAAATACAGAGTGAGAAAAGACCTTTGTGGTGTGTTGTGTGTGTCTTTCCTTTGCTGTCATGGCAAAGGACCACAACTTCAGCTCTACAGAGCTGGGCTAACCTGGGCTACTGCTTTCTGCCTCTGGGTGAGGAGCAAATTGTTTCTAAGGGATCTTCCTCAGTTGTTCTGGGAAAGTCTCTTTTCTGTGGTCCCAGGTGTTGGCAGCTGGCTTCTCTTTGCTCTCCTTTCTTTAGCCTTTTGAGACAGGGTTCTTGTAGCCCAGGATAGCCTCCAGTTTGCTATATTTCTGTTTCTCCCATTTCCCCTCTGGAATGCTGGGGTTGCAGCCATGCACCACCATGCCAGGCACTAACAATAGCCACTCTTGCTTCACCAAAGGTGCCCTGGTGGATAAAGTCCCCTGTACTCTGTCATCTCTTTTGGAACCTTCCTGAAGACAAAGTGTGCTGCTCAGAGGGGTGACTCAGCATTCCGTTCCCAAAGACAATGGTTCATGATGACACACAGTCTCCTGTAGCTCAGAGACTGCCCTCAGACTGACTGTGTGGCTGTGGGTGCCCTTGAAGCCGTCATCCACCTACATGCTGGGATGACAGGCACGTGCCATCACATCTGGCTTTCGGCCATGCTGGGGATTGCACCACAGCTCCATGCATGCTAGGCAAGGACTGACCCAGAGTCACACCCTCGGCTCCCCTCATTATGAATCTTCTCCATGGATGTTGGCAGCATGGGCCGTTTATCGCCTTGACCTTTAACACGGGCAGGCTTTCTGAACTACCAGAGAGACCAGAGGTTTCCCATAAGGATGCATATGTGTCCTTTTTGACAGTCTGTACCTTGCATCCCTGCACTCTGGAGCTGGAGGCAGGGAGTCAGTTCAAGGTCATCCCTGTCTACTCATTGAGCTTGTGGCCATTCTGTGCTACATGAGATCCTGGGCCCCTGCCCTGAAATGTTCATCTACTGTCTACAAAGTGGTACTGAAAACACTGCTCACATGTGCCAGTGGTTGCATCGGAAAGTGTCTTCCAACAGGAGCATCCTAGAACCCTCTTGTCTCCCAGCCCCTCCTCTCCTGTGTCCCATGACATGTAGGCCTGAATGTCACTCAAAGTGATGTTATTTCTCCTGTATGTTTGTGTGTGTGTGTGTGTTCACACTCACACACACGCACATGTGTGCAGGTACATGTACACACGTATGTGTGTGCTCATGTGGAGGATGTCAGTGGCCATCAGGTGTCCCCTCCATCAGTCCCCACTTTGTTTCTGGAGGTGGGGTCTCTCGGTGAAGCAAGGCTCATGTTTCTGATAGACAGCTTGCCCTGGGAACCCGTGTCTCCACCTGTGAGTGCTAGGGTCACAGGCAGGTCATCAATGCCCATCTGGCTTTTACAAGGGTTCTGGTGATCCGAACCTCAGTCCTCACCCCTGAGTGGCAAACTTTATCCACTGAGCCGTCTCCATGATGCTTGTAATTTTGATTCTAAAATGTCGGTTTCTGGCAATGGCTTTTCCAGGCTGAGCAGATGGCTCTATGGCAATTGGCCCCAAGCCTGATGGTCTGATTTTG